GGGCGGCGGGGAAGGCCCGGTCATAACGGCTCTCACGCCCATGACGATCCCCGATGTGTTCCCGCACTTGCCGCTCATCGCCATCACCCGCAACCCGGTGTTCCCGCGCTTTATCAAGATTATCGAGGTAATGGGAGTCCCCGCCTCGGCCTTAGGTTTCCCACCTCTGCAAGCAGCGGGCTGAACCGTGGGATCACTTTAGCGCCCTCGTGTTTCGCAACTTTTTCAGACATGAAGTTTCTCAGAGGATGCAGTTCGAATCCTTGTCTGCTCACCACTAGCTTGGCAACCTTGAGCCAAAGTCCTTCCCTTTCGAATTTCTTAGGATCTGTTAGATGAGAGGAGTTGAACCCGAAGAGCCTAGGATTATCCACTTAGAACCCGGGTCGTAGAAATCCGGGGCCGGGAGGGACCAGAGTAGTGTTACGGCGCTGTTAGTTTTCTGCTTACTTGGCACAAGTTTTGTAACACCACCTTGTCCCAGGCGCTCTGCCGTCTGGTTACGAGCCTCACTAGGATCAGAATTCATTCGTTTCTTAAACAAATACTTCTTGATTGATTGCTTATTATTTGCCAGAGACTGTTCTAGGTGCTGAGGATATGGCAGTGAACAAAACAGAAAAATTTATGCCTTTGAAGCTGGGCATGGGCTCGCGGTCTAGTCCCAACTACTCCAGCGGCTCAGGTGGGGAGGATTGCTTGAACCCTGGAGTCCAGCCTGGTCAACATGGCGAGACCCTGACTCTTAAGAAAAAAAATCTGTCTTGGAGCTTACGTTCTGGCAGGATGAGACAGGCAATAAAGATGATTAGTAACGATACTGTATTAGATGGCAACAATTACGAGAAATAATAGAGCGTGGATGGGACAGGAGGCTTAGGAGGGTGGGAAGAGGACGTTATTCAGTGTGTTCTTGACCTCCTACCACGTAGCAAGTGCTGAGAATACTGTAGTGAACAAGTCATGCAGTCCCTGGCCTTAACTTATGTTCCGGTGGTAGAAATTAGATCATTTCAGACTAAGAGCCTTGGGGGTGGGGAGGGAGCAGGATGATGTAATAGGGAGAAAGCAGAGTGTAAGGAACTTGAGCTTTTAAAGTAGGAAGGCCCCAAGAGCCTTCTCCCCTAGCTCCCCTTCCCTTAAAAAACAACTACTGATGTGGAAACTGGAATCTAAGGGAAGGTTATCTCTTAACTGGCGGGGAGCAAGGTCACGCAGTGAGTCAGCCTCTGCGCTCACCCTCCAGACTCTGATAAACAAATCTCAAGGATCTGTTGGGAACGGAAAGGCCATTTCAGAGGGGCAACAGTAGAGAGGGGACAGAGGGAGCTTCTCCAACGCTGTCAGTTTGTGTGTCCGAGCTTTTTTTTGTTTTTGTTTTTGAGACAGAGTTGTACTCTCTCATCTAGGCTAGAGAGCAGTGGCGTGATCTCAGCTCACTGCAACCTCTGCCTCCCAGGTTCAAGTGATTCTCCTGCCTCAGCCCCCGGAGTAGCTGGGATTACAGGCGCCCACCACCATGCCTGGCTAATTTTTACATTTTTAGAAGAGACACGGTTTCACCATGTTACCTACGCTGGTCTCGAACTCCTGACCTCAAGTGATTCACCCGCCTCAGCCTCCCAAAGTGCTGGGATTGCAGGTGTGAGTCACCGCGCCCAGCCCCAAGGTCTTTCCTTAATGTTTAGTAGTAGTTACTGATGCAGGCCCCAGAACAAGACCCTGTGGGGTCCTATCCTGGCTCCATAACCTTCAAGTTATTCCTTTGGCTTCCACGTTCTCATCTGTGACATGGACGTATTAGTATCTTGTTAGAGTTGTTGTGGGACTTAAATGAGACGATGTGGGCTGGGCACGATGTCTCACATGTGTAATCCCAGCATTTTGGGAGGCTGAGGCAGGAGGATAATTTGAGACCAGCATGGTCAACATAGACCCTGTCTCTACAAAAACAAAGAAAGAAAGAAAAGCTGGGCACAGTGGCATGCATCTGTCATCCCAGCTACTTGGAAGGCTGAGGCAGGAGGATCACTTGAAACTAGGAGGTCAAGGCTGCAGTGAGCCATGGTGTCACCACTGCACTGCAGCCTGGGCACCAAAATGAGGCCCTGCCTTAGTAATAACCTGATATTGTTTCCTCTTTGGTGTACTTCTGACATTTCAGGACTCTGCCCCGGAGGCCTTTTTCCCATCCTTGACTTCACCCTGGGCAGTTCTCTTTACCCTCCCAGGTTACTGGAGCCACGATGGTGTTCGTCAGGTCTGGTCCCCTCAGTTCTGCAGAGCGACAGATGCCCCTTGCTCCCAGGGCCTGAGCAGAGAGATGATTCTTCTAAAAGAGTTCAGACTGCCCACGTGGAGCTAGCCAGGAGGGTTGAATGAGTGGCTGCGGATAGTATTTGGGAGACTGGCAGGTGGTTCTCGTTATATTTCTGGTTGATGATGCGTTGTAAATCAAAAATGGATCCTGCCAAGGCCAGGAGGCAGATGCCAAGGATGCAGCTATCAGCTGTTGGCGGAGGGGAAATTGGGGGGCAACTTCTTGGGGACCCAAGAAATGTTTCTGAAATTGTTAGCAAAGCTTGATTTACTCTTCAGTTTGTGCTTGACTGTCTGGCCAACTTGCTCTAGAAGGTCCTGTCCTCATTAGCGACTTCTGAGTATAATGAGGACATGCTGTTACCCAGGCTGGTCTGAAACTCCTGGGCTCAAGTGATCCTCGTGCCTCAGCGCCCCAAAGTGCTGGGATTACAGGCATGAGCCACCACACCTGGCCAGGCCATTACCTTTAATCAAGGTCTGTCCAGTGAATTAACGAAGACTTGAAAGAAATCAGGTGAGCTCCTTGCTGCTTCACATGCTTCCTAGAAGACATCATTAGCCCTGAACCTGCTGTTGAGAATGTGCTGTGATCCTAGGGTTCTTGATCATTAATTACAGCGTATGTTGTGATAAGTAACTTTCAATGAAAATTGGAGGGACCGGGCATGGTGGCTCATGGCGAAACTCCATCTCTACTAATAATACAAAAATTAGTGGGTGCAGTGGCACGCGCTTGTAATCCCAGCTACACAGTAGGATGAGTTGGAAGAATCGCTTGAACCCGGGAGGTCGAGGTTGCATTAAGCCGAGATTGCACCACTGCACTCCAGCCTGGGCGGCAGAGTTAAACTTTCAAAAAAAAAAAAAAAAAGGAAGTCATTAACCTCTGGAGTGGGCCACATTTGAATTACTTGTTTATTCTGACATTAATAAAAGCAGAATGGTTTTGATTTTCAAACCAAGACAGTTTGCCCTGGACATCCCTTTTGAAGCTGGATGTTAAATCAATTTCTGGGTTCTGACCATCCGTCTACTTTGAATTTCCTTTGGGAATGGAGGAAACCACTAAGAAAAATGCAGCTAGTTAATTCTGCCTCACTCTTCGCCACCACAGCTTCCTAGCCTCCAGTCTTTTTTTTTCTTTTTTTTCTTTTTTGGTTTCGGCGTTCCCAAACCCTGTTGATTAGTATCCCGGATCCGATTAGCGTGTCCCCAGAGAATAATCTAGACAACGTTAGAGCTGCTGTCAAAAAATGTCAGCTAGAAAAGTTACCCTGGGCCGTGTGTGGTGGCTCACGCCTGTAATCCCAGCACTTTGGGAGGCTGAGGCAGGTCGATCACCTGAGGTCAGGAGTTCGAGACCAGCCTGGCCAATATGGTGAAACCCTGTCGCTACTAAAAATACAAAAATTAGCTAGGTGTGGTGGTGCATGCCTGTAGTCCCAGCTACTCAGGAGGCTGAGGCAGGAGAATCCCTTGAACCCAGTGGGGGCGGAGGTTGCAGTGAGCCGAGATGACGCCATTACATTCCAGCCAGGGCAACAGAATGAGACTCTGTTTCAAAGGAAAAAAAAAAAAAATCTACCCTGCATTTCACCTTGGGGTCATTGTCATGCTAGGTTAAAAATAAGAAGTTGGTTGAGCTGCTAAGAAGGAAAGTCCGTCTCGCCCAGCCTTATGTCGGTGTCTTTCTAAAGAGAGATGACAAGTAAGTGTGATTTTTTTTTCCTTCATTCCCTTGTTGACGTTGCCCTAGAGTCCAGCTCACCACAAGTCCTACTTTGTACTTTGCACTTTTGACTCTTGACCCCAAGGAAACCAGGGAAGACCTCCAGAGTAAAGACCAGGAGCCAGGCAGGCTGCCTTTTCAGCCCGGGCTAAGAACTCAGCTTGTAGCACTAAACTGCATGCATTGGTAAAATGTGGAGGAAATTAACTTCAGGGACCCTTGGTGATGAGATGCACCATGAGGCTGCCTGAAAGCCGAGCTAGCTGGTCGGAGATCATGGCTCCACGTAGAAATGAGTTCCATGGGCCAGGCGTGGTGTCGCACACCTGTAATCCCAGCACTTTGGGAGGCTGAGGCATGTGGATCACCTGAGGTCAGGAATTCCAAAGCAGTCTGACTGACATGGTGAAACCCCGTCTCTACTAAAAATACAAAAAATTAGCCAGACGTGGCGGCAGGCACCTGTAATCCCAGCTACTCGGGAGGCTGAGGAAGGAGAATCGCTTGAACCTGGTAGGTGGAGGTTGCAGTGAGCCCAGATCGCACCATTGCACTCCAGCCTGGGGAACAAGAGTGAAACTCCATCTCAAAAAAAAAGTTGCATGTATGCATTCCATGCAGGCTCTGTGACAGGAGCATGGAAGAGACTTAAAGTCCCATCTGGACCATGTCTTTGTGGCTGACTTAGTGAGGAGCCACCCACCCGGTCCTGTGACCACTGGGGGCAGCCCTGACCTGGCAGAAGCTTCCCTAGGCTCTAGAGCTCCTGTGGGAGCCAAGGAAGCCGCTCTTGGTTTTCAGTAGCATTTGGAGGGACGTTTCTTTTCTCTCCCTCCTCCCTCTCAGCCGGAGACATCCTGCCAAGCATGCAAGCCGTGTTCCAACGTTCCTCTGTGCTCCTCTTCCACAGCAACGAGTCGGATGTGGTCGAGAACCTGGATGAAATCTACCACACGGGGACATTTGCCCAGATCCACGAGATGCAGGACCTTGGGGACAAGCTGCGCATGATCGTCATGGGACACAGAAGGTGGGTGGCTGGTGGGGGTAGTGGGGGGTGGAGGGCAGGGTAGCACGCAGGAGACCAGCCCAGGATGCCCCAGGCCCCAGCATCAGCTTGCCTTGTCTGTCAGCCCCGCAGCGTTCTTATTAGCACTGAGGCCAGACCTGGGGGTAAGAGTGAGACGTGTCACCTCTGGACCCCTCCTGTCTCAGAAAGGGGCGAGCTGCAGGGCCGGGCACAGTGACTCCTGCCTGGAATCCCAGTACTTTGGGATGTCAAGGCAGTTGGATCGCTTGAGTCCAGGAGTTTGAGTGCAGCCTGGGCAACATAGCGAGATCCCATCTCTGCAAAAAAAGATAGAAAAATTAGCTGGATGTGGTGGCTCATGCCTGTGGTCCCAGCTACCCAGGAGGCTGAGGTGGGAGGATCGCTTGAGCCCAGGAGTTTGAGATCAGCCTGGGCAACACAGCAAGACCCTGTTTCTATAAAACATTTTAAAAAGTTAGACATGATGGCATGTTCCTGTAGTCTCAGCTACTTGGCAGGCTGAGGCAGGAGGATTGCTTGAGCCCAGGAGGTCGAGGCTGCAGTGAGCTATGATCATACCACTGCACTGCAGCCTGGGCAGCAGAGTGAGACCCTGAGTTGAGGTGGTGCTAGGTGCTCTGAGGCAAGATGCAGACGGCATGAGAGGTGGAGGGCTCTCGGTGCTCTGAGGGGAGATGCAGACGGCGTGAGAGGTGGAGGGTGCTCGGTGCTCTGAGGGGAGGTGTAGACAGCCTGAGAGGTGGAGGTGGGTAGCTTCTGTGAAGTGCTTGGGGACATTCTTTGCAATGGTGTCCTTGAAATCGAGACCTGAACGACAGGAAGGAGCCACCTGAGCTGAGTCCAGGGCACAGAGTCTCAGAGACCAGCCTGTGCCCGGCCAGGCTGACAGTGTTTTCAGCAGGAGGCCCTGGGGCTTGTCGCTGCAGCTTATCCCCGATACTTAGGATGGGGACAGTGGTGCATTGGCGTGGGACGCAGGGAATGCCTGAATCTGGCTGGAGTCTAAGGGGTGGAGGGGACACTGGTTGGGAGGCCCCGAGAAAGCGGCTCGAGTTCCCAGCCCGAGGACCTGTAGCCACCCTGTGGCTCCAGAGGTCTGGGTTCAGCGGGACCCTTGGACCACCTGTGCCACCAGGGAGGCCTCAGCCGGGGCCAGGGCAGCTCCCAGCCTCAGTGGCTTCACGCCTGCCTTGCTCCTGTGTCAGAGTCCATATCAGCCGACAGCTGGAGGTGGAGCCCGAGGAGCCGGAGGCGGACAACAAGCACAAGCCCCGCAGGAAGTCGAAGCGGGGCAAGAAGGAGGCGGAGGACGAGCTGAGTGCCAGGCACCCGGCGGAGCTGGCGATGGAGCCTGCCCCCGAGCTCCCGGCCGAGGTGCTCATGGTGGAGGTGGAGAACGTCGTCCACGAGGACTTCCAGGTCACAGAGGAGGTGAAAGTGAGTCCGTGTGTCACGCAGGGCGGTCGCAGCTGCCTCCCCAACGGGCTCCCTTGAGCCGTTCCTACAGCCTCTCCTAGGAGTTGTCTCCCACCCTGAGCCCCTCAGCAAGGGTCTGGCCTGTCTGGAACTCAGTTCTAATGGAACAAAGAGGGTGCTTTTCCTCCCAGAGGTCTTTGGAAGACTCTGGGATGGGAGAGGCACAGGAAATTTGCTGGAGCCGTAGCTACTCGAGAGGGAGGCAGGGTTGGAACCCAGGTCCAGCCCCAGCCCGTGTCCCTGTGCCAAAGCCTCCAGCAGTTACCAAGACACCTTCCAGCCCCGGCTTCTTCCCACCAAGCCCGGGAGGTCAGGGAGGGGAAGCTGGGACCGGTGGCTGTAGGACAGGAAACAGCCTGTTGGCCACCCTGATCCCCCAACCTAGGCCATCCTGCCTTCCTGGTGGCACAAGGAGTCAGCTTCCGAGGTGGGCAGCCTCCTGGCGGTGCCACCTGCCCTCCTGCTGTAGGGGCAGTCAGCAAAGCTAACCAAAGGCCTGAAGCATGTCAGCTCCTTACTTGTGTGCCTGGTGTCATCGGCCTCCTCCCCGGGCTGTTGCAGAGCCTGGGGGGAAAGTGCCATGATCAACTGGTGATGTCTGCTGTGGACGCTGGGAGGGGCGAACTGTCCTGTCCACAGGCCCTCCTGAGTTCTTGAGGTCAGCACTTCTATCCTGTACTGCTAGCCTCTATGAGTTGTTTTTGTTTTTGTTTTTTCTTTTTTGAGACAGAGTCTGGCTCTGTCACCCAGGCTGGAGTGCAGTGGCGCCATCTCAGCTCACTGCAGCCTCCGCCTCCCGGGTTCAAGTGACTCTCATGCCTCGGCCTCCCAAGTAACTGGGATTACAGGCACGCGCCACCACACCTGGCTAATTTTTGTATTTTTAGTAGAGACGAGGTTTTACCGTGTTGGCCAGGCTGGTCTCAAACTCCTGACCCTGGGTGATCCTCCCACCTTGGCCTCCCAAAATGCTGGGATTACAGGCGTGAGCCACTGTGCCCGGTCACCTCTGAGTATTGAGCACTTGAAGTAGAGCTGCTGTGGCCAAGGAACAGAATGGAACATTTTACTGGCTGGGTGCAGTGGCTCATGCCTGTCATCCCAACAGTTTTGGAGGCCAAGGAAGGAGGATCACTTGAGACGCAGAGTTCAAAACCAGCCTAGGCAATATGGAGACCCCTGTCTCTGCCAAAAAAAAAAAAAAAAAAAAAAATTAGCTGGGCATGGTGGCGTACACCAGTGGTCCAACCTGTGGGAGGGTGGCTTGAGCCCGGGAGGTTGAGGCTGCAGTGAGCTGTGATCGCATCACTGCACTCCAGCCTGGGCAACAGAGTGAGACCCTGTATCTAAAAATTAGAACAATTCTAACAGCCACCAGTGGCTACACTGTCCTGGGCAGCACAGCACTGGCGCTCCCTGTGAGAATCTTGCAGCAGGGGGAAGACGGTGACCGAACTGACAGATGTGATTAGAATTGGCAAGACCCCTGAGGGGCAGCGAGCTTGTTTTTTGTTTTGTTTTGTTTTTTTGGTTTTTTTTTTTTTGAGACGGAGTCTCTGTTGTCGCCCAGGCTGGAGGGCAGTGGCGCAATCTCGGCCCTCTGCAAGCTCCGCCTCCCGGGTTCATGTGACTGTCCTGCCTCAGCCTCCCCAGTAGCTGGGACTACAGGCGCTCACCACCACGCCAGGCTAATTTTTTGTATTTTTAGTAGAGACGGTTTCACCGCATTAGCCAGGATAGTCTTGATCTCCTGACCTTGTGATCCGCCCACCTCGGCCTCCCAAAGTGCTGGGATTACAGGCGTGAGCCACCGCGCCCGGCCTGAACTTGTTTTTCTTAAAGCAAGTGCCCTGGACCTCCAGTGGACCAGTTCTGGTGCCTTCTACCAGGGTCAGCTCAGACAGTTCAGGGTCAAAGCCAAAGACTAGAGACCGGGTGATTATGGTTTTTTTTGGAGACAGAGTCTCGCCCTGTCACTCAGACTGGAGTGCATTGGCGCAATCTTGGCTCATGGCAACCTCCGCCTCCTGAGTTCAAGTGATTCTCCTACCTCAGCCTCCTGAGTAGCTGGGATTACAGGCATCCACCAAAGTGCCTGGCTAATTTTTTTTTTGTAGTTTTAGTGGAGACGGGGTTTCACCATGTTGGCCAGGTGGATCTTGAGCTCCTGGCCTCAAGTGATCCACCTACCTCTGCCTCCCAAAGTGTTGGTGTTACAGGTGTGAGCCACCATGCCCAGCCGAGACCAGGTGATGAAAATTTGGTTGTAGGCAGCCACGGTTGCCCATGCCTGTGGTCCCAGCTACTCCGGAAAATGAGGAGGGGAGGATCGCTTGAGCCCAAGAATTCCAGGCTGCAGTGAGTCATGATCGCGCCACTGCACTCCAGCCTGGGTGACAGAGCAAGACTTGGTCTCTCAAAAAAAAATTATTAATAAAGGAAAGAAAAGGCAGTCTCTTTTCTTCCCCCAAGATAGCTTGTCCTAAGGACAAGGCTCTGAGGGGTAAGGAGACAGGGTTTGGTTTTAGTTTGGACTCTCTTGGTCCCGTGTCCCTGGGACTAGTGAGTTTAGGCTGCACTCCTCCGTCTCCGAAGCCCTCCGTGGCCAGGGCCAGTTGGGGGAGGGGAGGGGAGGGGGGCAGCTGATGGAGCAACTGGTGGGTGGGGCTCCCAGGGCCACGCCTCCCACCCCCTGCTGAAGCACTGCTGGGCCTCAATGACCCTGCCCCCATACCTGGCAGGCCCTGACCGCAGAGATCGTGAAGACCATCCGGGACATCATTGCCCTGAACCCTCTCTACAGGTGGGCCTCTGCGGGCGGCTGCCAGGCGGGGGCATCTCTGTGTTTGTTTCTGCAGCTGGGTGGGTAGGGGGCTTCCTCAGCGTCCTCCTGGGAGGAAACCTCGCCTGGGGCAGGGATCCGTGGCCCAGGGAGCGGCCTGTGCGGAGGAGCCTGCTGCCCACTGGGGCATGGGGCAGGTGGGAGGCCCGGGGCCTCAGCAGGCCCAGGTTCCTTGTCCCCTTCTGCTGAGGCCGGAAGCTGTTGCTGGCATTGGCTGGGGGAGTGGGGAGCAGACTGCTGAGGTGAGGTCACTGCACGGCTCCCGTGGGGGCTGCATGTGGGGATGCCACATGCCTTTCCAGCCCAGGACAGGTGGGCCCTGAACTCTGGGCACCAAGCAGCAGTGCTTGCTCCCAGCGAGCCCCCCTAGGCCCTGCCTGTAGCTACAGGGGACAAGGACCCTGAGGACTGGGTCCCCGTCAGGGGGCTGCAGTGCAGCAGAGCGCAGGGCCGTGGACACCGAGGCGGCTCCCTTTGTCCCCCAGGGAGTCGGTGCTGCAGATGATGCAGGCTGGCCAGCGGGTGGTGGACAACCCCATCTACCTGAGCGACATGGGCGCTGCGCTCACCGGGGCCGAGTCCCACGAGCTGCAGGACGTCCTGGAAGAGACCAACGTGAGTACCCCACACTCCACAGCCCCTGACACCCGGCTGCACCCCACCTCCACTATGCTCCGCCCATGCCCAGCTGCCCTCACTCCTCCTCGGCTCCCCCGTGCCTGCCTGCCCTCACCCCTCCACCGTGCGCCATCCACCCCCAGCCGTGTGTCCCTGGCTCTGTTTTTGAGATGATTTCCTGCTGTGTGCCTTGATCCACATCCGTCCGCCTTTGAGCGGCAACATAGCCTTCAGCTGGGAGTTAACTGTTGCGGGTTCAGTGGGATCCTCTGGACCGCGTACCCAGGGCATTGCCAGTCTTTTGCTGTTGTGAGCGGCATTCCTGAGAGCGTCCCCATGCACGCAGCTGGAGGGCCTGCGGAGGTATCCATAGGATGCGTTTCCAGCACAGGATTTGTCAGGGCGGAGGGCACGCATGCCTCTGTGCTGGGTGTGGCGTGGCCAGGCGCTCCTGGCAGCATCTTGCAGGGTGCGCCTTTTCCCCCACCTCGGCCCTACATGCACAGATACCGACTTCTGCTCATCCTTTCCGCCCTCCCTGTCTCGGCAGATTCCCAAGCGGCTGTACAAGGCCCTCTCCCTGCTGAAGAAGGAATTTGAATTGAGCAAGCTGCAGCAGCGCCTGGGGCGGGAGGTGAGCCTGAGGCTGAGGCGCAGCCACTCTTGGGGGCCTTCCCGTCAGGCCACGTGACATCAGTCAGGCTCTGGAGCACACGGAGGGACCAGTGGCATCGACCAGGGCAAGCCCAGAAGGCCTGTCTGGGTTTTGAGGGCTTCGTGCCATCATCTGCTCTGTCGTCCTGGGCTGTGGAACTCTCTGCATTGAACAGGAAAGCTTAAAGCTGGTCCCAGTGTAATGAGCCCAGGGTGGAGCAGTCTCAGGACCGTCCCACATCAAGGGAAGAATTCCTCTGCCTTTGTAATCTTGAGGACAGTGTTGGAAATTGGGAAGCAGCCTGGGAAAAGTGGAGATGCTGTTTCTTAAGACCCAACCATTGAGGCTCACTGTCCTGATACTCGGCAGATCACAGCCTGCCTGATGCTCAGTCACTTCACAGTTGTAGCATTTTTTGGAATTTTTTAAGACAGGGTCTCAGTCGGCCGCCTAGGCTGGAGTGCAGTGGCGCAATCTCAGCTCACGACAGCCTCCACCTTCAGGGCTCAAGCGGTCCTCCCACCTCAGCTTCCCGAGTAGCTGGGATTACAGGCGTGTGACACCACACCGGCTAATTTTTGTCTTTCAGTAGAGAAGGGTTTCACCATGTTGGCCAGGCTGGTCTTGAACTCCTGGCCTCAGGTGATCCGCCTGCTTTGGCCTCCCAAAGTGCTGAGATTACAGGCGTGAGCCACGGTGCCTGGCCCCATCTCTGTAAACAATTTTAAAATTAGAGCCAGGCGTGGTGGCAGGTGCCTGTGGTCCCGGCTACCCAGGAGGCTAAGGCAGGAGGATCGCTTGAGTCCAGGAGGTGGAGGCTATGGTGAGCTATCATGGTGCCTTTGCACTCTAGCCTGGGCAACAGAGGAAGACCCTGTTTCAAAAAAAAAAAACAAAAGATGGAACCAAAGGCTTCCTGCCCTGGGTTTCGTTTCTTTTTTCTGAGTCCTGGGGGAGCAGAGGGTGTCCACTCGCGCGGGGACGCACACACTCACCTACCTTCCCAGACCCAGGGCCTGATGGCAGCGCCTCACCCCACAGGTGGAGGAGAAGATCAAGCAGACCCACCGCAAGTACCTGCTGCAGGAGCAGCTGAAGATCATCAAGAAGGAGCTGGGCCTGGAGAAGGACGACAAGGACGCCATCGAGGAGAAGTTCCGGGAGCGCCTCAAGGAGCTCGTGGTCCCCAAGCATGTCATGGATGTTGTGGACGAGGAGCTGAGCAAGCTGGGCCTGCTGGACAACCACTCCTCGGAATTCAAGTGAGCGCCAGGCCCGGGGCGGCCCAGCCCTCGGGCAAGCCCTCCTCAGCCCCTGTCTTGGGCAGGCCAGGGGACCCAGCAGGAGAGCCCTGTGGCACCTTCTTGCTGTGGTAGCTGCTTGGTGGTGGGCTAGGAGGTAGCCAGTGAGCATCAGTCCTGTTCCTGGGCAGGACACGTCATCACCGTCTGCATTCTACGAGGAAATCGAGGCTCAGGGCTGTGGAATTAGTGGTCAAGGCCTATGAGCTGGTAGGTGGTGCCAGGGATTTGAACCCAGGGACACCTGGCTCTACACCAGGGCTGCTTTTTTATTTTTTTATTTTTGAGATGGAGTCTCGCTCAGTTGTCCAGGCTGGAGTGCAGTGGTGCAGTCTTGGCTCACTACTACTTCTACTTCCCAGGTTCAAGCAATTCTGCTTCGATCCCTCAAGTAGCTGGGACTACAGGCATGCATCCCATGCTCCACTTTTTTTTTTGTATTTTTAGGAGACATGCGGTTTCACCATGTTGTTCAGGCTGGTCTTGAACTCCTGACCTCAAATAATCCACCTGCGTTGACCTCCCAAAGCGCTGGGATTACAGGCATGAGCCACCGTGCCTGGCTTTTTGCTTTTTTTTTTTTTTTTTTTTTTTTTTTGTTTGAGATGGAGTCTTGCTCTGTCGCCCAGGCAGGAGTGCAGTGTCTCGTCTCACTGCAAGCTCCACCTCCCGGGTTCACGCCATTCTCCTGCCTCAGCCTCCGGAGCAGCTGGCACTACAGGCGCCCACCGCCACGCCCAGCTAATTTTTTGTAGTTTTAGTAGAGACAGCTTTTCACTGTGCTAGCCAGGATAGTCTCGATCTCCTGACCTTGTGATCCGCTTGGCTTGGCCTCCCAAAGTTCTGGGATTACAGGCGTGAGCCACTGTACTCGGCCCATAAACTGTTTTATAGAGACGGGGTCTCGCCGAGTTGCCCAGGCTGGTCTTGAACTCCTGGGCTCCAGCGATCCTCCCACCTGGGCCTCCCAAAGTGCTGGGATTACAGGCATGAGCCACCTCATGCTATCTCAGCTCTCCTGACAAGAGTCAGCAGTGGACCTCCAGCAGTCCCCTCCTTCCTGCGCTGGGTGCCTTGGACAGGGCAGTTTGTAAATTTTTTTTTTTTTTTTTTTTTTGTTTGAGATGGAGTCTTGCTCTGTCGCCCAGGCAGGAGTGCAGTGTCTCGTCTCACTGCAAGCTCCACCTCCCGGGTTCACGCCATTCTCCTGCCTCAGCCTCCGGAGCAGCTGGCACTACAGGCGCCCACCGCCACGCCCAGCTAATTTTTTGTAGTTTTAGTAGAGACAGCTTTTCACTGTGCTAGCCAGGATAGTCTCGATCTCCTGACCTTGTGATCCGCTTGGCTTGGCCTCCCAAAGTTCTGGGATTACAGGCGTGAGCCACTGTACTCGGCCCATAAACTGTTTTATAGAGACGGGGTCTCGCCGAGTTGCCCAGGCTGGTCTTGAACTCCTGGGCTCCAGCGATCCTCCCACCTGGGCCTCCCAAAGAGCTGGGATTACAAACATGAGCTGCTGTGCTTGGCCCCACACATGGTTTCAAGCCCCGGGCAACCACACGGCCAAGTCCAGTAGACACACGGGCAGCTCGTGAGCTCCGCTCAGCATCTCTCATCTTTCCCCTGGCAGTGTCACCCGCAACTACCTAGACTGGCTCACGTCCATCCCTTGGGGCAAGTACAGCAACGAGAACCTGGACCTGGTGCGGGCACAGGCAGTGCTGGAGGAAGACCACTACGGCATGGAGGACGTCAAGAAACGCATCCTGGTGAGCCCAGTGTCTGGCCTGCTGTGGATTTGCATGTGGGCAGTGGGCCCAGGCCCAGGACTCTGTGCTGTGGGTTGAGATTTCAGAGGAGCCTCCTGGTGAATTCGTAGGCCTGGGAGTGCTGGTCGGGGGGATCCTGACGGAGGGAGCATCCTGCCCTGTCGCCGGGGGCTCGAGGATTTCCCAGATGGACTGAAGTCATGCCTGACAGGCCGAGCATGGTGGGACTGCTTGTCCCAGCTACTCAGGAGGCTTAGGCAGGAGGATCACTTGAGCCCAGGAAGCTGAGGCTGTGGTGAGCTGTGATCGTACCACTGCACATCAGGTTGGGTGACAGAGGGAGACCCCCATCTCTACAAAAAATTTAAAAATTTGGGCCAGGTGTGGTGGCTCAAGCCTGTAACCCCAGCACTTTGGGAGGCCGAGGCAGGCAGATCACGAGGTCAGGAGATCGAGACCATCCTGGCGAACACAGTGAAACCTCGTCTCTACTAAAAATACAAAAAATTAGCCGGGCGCGGTGGCAGGTGCTGTAGTCCCAGCTACTTGGGAGGCTGAGGCAGTAGAATGGCTTGAACCCGGGAGGCAGAGCTTGCAGTGAGCGGAGATTGCGCCACTGCACTCCAGCCTGGGTAACAGAGTGAGACTCCGTCTCAAAAAAAGAAAAAAATTAGTCTGGTGTGGTGGTGTGTGTCTGTAGTCCCAGCTACTTGGGAGGCTGAAGTGGGAGGATTGCTTGAACCCAGGAGGTGGAGGCTTCAGTGAGCTGTGATGGCGCCACTACACTCCAGCCTGGGCAACAGAGCAAGACCTTGTCTGAAAATTAATTAATTTTAAATTAATTTTTAAAATACCACTCCTGAGACATTAGAAACCAGGCAGGCAAGTGGGAGTCAGAGGCTAAAAACAGGAGTCAGAGCCCGGGCGCAGTGGCTCACGCCTTTAATCCCAGCACTTTGGGAGGCCGAGGTGGGCTGAGGCTTACAAGGTCAGGAGTTCAAGACCAGCCTGACCAACGTGGTGAAACCCCGCTTCTACTAAAAATACAAAAAAAGTAGCGGGGCATGGTAACTTGTGCCTGTAATCCCAGCTAGTAGAGAGACTGAGGCAGGAGAATTGCTTGAACGCCGGAGACAGAGGTTGCAGTGAGCTGAGATCGCACCAGTGTACTCCAGCCTGGGCAGCAGAGCGAGACTCCATCTCAAAAAAAAAAAAAAAAAAGGAGCCAGAGGCATTGGTGGAGGGGGAGAGTGGGCTGCCTCTCTGGGTCGGGCTGGAGAGAGTGGGGCATTCATTGGTGGTGTTCGGAGTCCCGGGGAAGGGACCCGTTAGGAGGTGGGGAACTGCTGAACGGGCCTGGCGCTGCCGGGCGGCCACAGTCTCCTGGCATCTAGTTGTCCTGTTGGTGTTAATGGAGCTCTTGTCACGGGCTGCCCCTCCCTGTGGCCAGTGGCAGTATTGATCTGCTCAGCCTCCCGGACAATCCTGGTCCCTTTCCGAAGCCCTCAGGCGTCTGAAAGGCAGTGTGCAGGTGGCGAGAGTCATGCCCAGGCCCCGGGCTTACCCAGCCCACGCGCCCACTGAGCCTGCCTCTGTCCGTAGGAATTCATTGCCGTCAGCCAGCTCCGCGGCTCCACCCAGGGCAAGATCCTCTGCTTCTACGGCCCCCCTGGCGTGGGCAAGACCAGCATTGCCCGCTCCATCGCCCGCGCCCTGAACCGAGAGTACTTCCGCTTCAGCGTCGGGGGCATGACTGACGTGGCTGAGATCAAGGGCCACAGGTAGGCCTGGCTCCGGGAGCTCTCCCCACGGGCTCCCCTCAGCGGTGCTGCCGGGCTTCGTCTTCTCCAGTCACTGTTAACATTTGGTAGAGCAATATGGGTCGTGGGCAGCCAGTTCCACTCACGCTAGAGTAACTGAAAAGTCTAGCCATGTGGCGGACCTCAGGCCTGGCTGATTCCAGGCGCTCAAACAGCGCTGGCAGGAATCTCCATGGCCTGACCTCTGGGAGAGACATCTTGGCCGGCCCTCAGTAGACGCCCCCAGTAGTTCCAGCTCAGGTCCTGCAGTGCCCCGGCCAGAGCTGCAGGGCCAGCATTTGCCATGCACACGCTGGTTTATATGGGCTGTGGCTGATGCCCCAGGACTCAGGGTGAGGTCGGCCCCACCCCCCACCCTGAAGTCTGTGGGCTGGAGTCAGGAGAGACGGTCTCCGGTGAGGACCGGGCTGCGCACACCAGAGAAACCTTGGCGCCTCTGTGGGCTCACTCCTCCCAGCTGGCCTCAGGCCCAGAGCAAGGGCCATGGCCCTCAGCATTCAGCGCCTTCCCACCTGGCCCTTCGGGTGGGCAGCCAGGCGCGGCTTCTGCGGCTTCCTTCCTCGCCAAGCTCTGTAGACCACGGTTGTTTGGAAACCGTAGCCCTAGTGAAAGCCGAGCATGAGGCATCTGCTAAGTCCACCACCTATTTCCATTCTGCATGGCGTTCACTTGAGTCCGCGTTTGAAGTGAACATTTCTGGCTCCTCTAAAAACATGCCCAGCTCTGGAACCCCCAGGCTCAGGCCTTCTCAGCCTGCCCGCTGCAAGGGTGACAGCACGCTGGCCCGCGCTGTGTCCCCAGGGCGCGGCCACTCTCACCAGCCTGGAGTTGGGAGGAGCTGGAGGAGGTGGGGCCAGTGCAGTTTTGGGGGTCCCAGATTGACCAGGGGGGCGGGGGTCTGAGTGGGAGGACAGGGGACCTGTTTTGCAGGCCCTTGGATGGGGTGGGGGTGTGAGCAGGAAGGAGCAGCTGGGTGAAGGTGGAGGGGCGGGTGTGGGGGCACCCACTCCTTCCTGGGCACGCGGTTTGAGGTGGTCCTGAAGCCTCTTGGGCCCTGGTTCAGGGATGGCTAGAGGTGCAGACAAGACCCACTCACTGCCGGAGGAGAGACCCTGGCGGGGCCTGAACGAGCCCGAGCCGCCTCCGGCCTTGGGAGGGAGTCACCAGGGAGCCGGGCTGCAGGGAGGGCAGGCGCCTGTGCTGACGTCTCTCGGGCTTCCTGAGACAAGGACAAGGACAGGAGACTGGCTGCGGGGAGATGGATCACTGTTGATAACAGCAGCAGAACCCTCCTGCCCACAGGACAATGCATGACCTGCCCCACCCCTCCCTCTCCTCTCCTCTTTCTACCCCCTTCTCTCTCC